CCCCCACCTTCCCCGATTCAGCTGCTGGTCAGTTTCAGCAGCGGCTGAATCAGGGAAGCCGGGCACAGAGCAGCTCCAATTGTCCGGCAGCTGGAGCATTTCCGGGGTCCTGATGGTGCCAGACCATCAGGAGTGCCGGAGCATTGGATGTCGGACCAATGGAATTTTACTGTACTTTGCGTTTGTCCTTATTAAACTTCATCCTATTTACCTCAGACATTTCTCCAGTTTGTCCAGATCATTCTGAATTTTGATCCTATCCTCCAAAGCACTTGCAACCCCTCCCAGCTTGGTATCATCCGCAAACTTAATAATCATACTCTCTATGCTATCATCTAAATCGTTGATGAAGATATTGAACAGACCCAATCCCAACACAGACCCCTGTGGAATCCCACTTGTTATGCCCTTCCAGCATGACTGTGAACTGTTAATAACTACTCTCTGAGAATGGTTATCAAGACAGTTATGCATCCACCTTAATGTAGCCCCATCTAGGTTCTATTTCCTTAGTTTACTGATAAGAAGGTCACGCAAGATTGTATCAAATGTTTTACTAAAGTCTAGGTATACCACAGCCACCGCTTCTCCCTTATCCACAAGGCTTGTTATCATACCAAAGAAAGATTTGTTTGACATGATTTGTTCTTTACAAATCTATGTTGGCTGTTACCTATCACCTTATTTTCTTCCAGATGTTTGCAGATGAATTCCTTAATAACTTGTTCCATTATCTTCCCTGGCACAGATTCCTTAATTATTTGCTCCATTATCTTCCCTGGCACAGAAGTTAAACTGACTAGTCTGTAGTTTCCTGAGTTGTTCTCATTTCCCTTTTTATAGACTGGCATTATATTTCCCTTTTCCAGTCTTCGGATATGTCTCTCAACTTCCATGACTTTTCAAAGATGATAGCTAAAGGCTCAGATACTTCCTCTACCAGCCCCTTGAGTACTCTAAGGACGCATTTTATCAGGCCCTTGTGACAAGAAGACATCTAACTTTTCTAAGTGATTTTTAACTTGTTTTTTTAATTTTAACTTGTAAATCTACCCCATTTCCACTAGCATTTACTATGTTGGGCATCCTGTCACCATCAATCTTCTTGACAAAAACCAAAACAAAGAAGTCATTAAGTACCTCTGCCATATCCAAGTTTCCTGTTATTGTTTCTCCCTCTTCACTGAGCATGCCCTAACGGAGATGCTGTAACAGATTTATTTGGGCATAAGCTTGCTGTACATCTGACAAAATGGTTTTTACCCAAAATGGTTTTTATTATGCTCAAATAAATCTGTCAGTCTTTAAGGTGTCATAGGACTCCTAATTTTAACATTATATTCCTTAATTCAGTGTTTTCACCATATGTTCAACAATGATCGCCCTGTGATTAAAATGGAATGACAAATCAGGAAATCTGAGATTTATTTCTGCCTGAGAGTTCCAGCAGGTCCTTGTTTACCCTCAGTTTCCCCATCTTCTAAACAGCGGTAATACCACTTCTCTTAGAAGCAAGCTGTGAGAGTTCATTCATTTTTGAATCATAGAATCATAGAATAATAGGACTGGAAGGGACCTCGAGAGGTCATCGAGTCCAGCCCCCTGCCCTCAAGGCAGGACCAAGCTCCGTCTACACCATCCCTGACAGATGTCTATCTAACCTGTTCTTAAATATCTCCAGAGAGGGAGATTCCACCACCTCCCTTGGCAATTTATTCCAATATTTGACCACCCTGACAGTTAGGAATTTTTTCCTAATGTCCAATCTAAACCTCCCCTGCTGCACTTTAAGCCCATTACTCCTTGTCCTGTCCTCAGAAACCAAGAGGAACAAATTTTCTCCTTCCTCCTTGTGACACCCTTTTAGATATTTGAAAACCGCTATCATGTCCCCCCTTAATCTTCTTTTTTCCAAACTAAACAAGCCCAGTTCATGAAGCCTGGCTTCATAGGTCATGTTCTCTAAACCTTTAATCATTCTTGTTGCTCTTCTCTGTACCCTTTCCAATTTCTCCACATCTTTCTTGAAATGTGGCGCCCAGAACTGGACACAGTACTCCAGCTGAGGCCTAACTAGTGCAGAGTAGAGCGGCAGAATGACTTCACGAGTTTTGCTTACAACACACCTGTTGATACAACCTAGAATCATATTTGCTTTTTTTGCAACAGCATCACACTGTTGACTCATATTCAACTTGTGGTCCACTATGACCCCTAGATCCCTTTCTGCCATGCTCCTTCCTAGACAGTCGCTTCCCATCTTGTATGTATGGAACTGATTGTTCCTTCCTAAGTGGAGCACTTTGCATTTCTCTTTATTAAACCTCATCCTGTTTACCTCTGACCATTTCTCTAACTTGCTAAGGTCATTTTGAATTATGTCCCTATCCTCCAAAGAAGTTGCAACCCCACCCAGTTTGGTATCATCTGCAAACTTAATAAGCGTACTCTCTATCCCAATATCTACATCATTGATGAAGATGTTGAACAGTATGGGTCCCAAAACAGACCCTTGAGGAACTCCACTTGTTATCCCTTTCCAGCAGGATTTAGAACCGTTAACAACAACTCTCTGACTACGGTTATCCAGCCAATTATGCACCCACCTTATCGTGGCCCTATCTAAGTTATATTTGCCTAGTTTATCAATAAGAATATCATGCGAGACCGTATCAAATGCCTTACTAAAGTCTAGGTATATGACATCCACCGCTTCTCCCTTATCCACAAGGCTCGTTATCTTATCAAAGAAAGCTATCAGATTAGTTTGGCATGACTTGTTCTTCACAAACCCATGCTGGCTATTCCCTATCACTTTATTACCTTCCAAGTGTTTGCATATGATTTCCTTAATTACCTGCTCCATTATCTTCCCTGGGACAGACGTTAAACTGACCGGTCTGTAGTTTCCTGGGTTGTTCTTATTCCCCTTTTTATAGATGGGCACAATATTTGCCCTTTTCCAGTCTTCTGGAATCTCCCCTGTCTGCCATGATTTTTCAAAGATCATAGCTAAAGGCTCAGATACCTCCTCTATCAGCTCCTTGAGTATCCTGGGATGCATTTCATCAGGACCTGGTGACTTGCTGACATCTAACTTTCCTAAGTGATTTTTAACTTGTTCTTTGTGTATCCTATCTTCTAAACTTACCCTCTCTCTGCTTGTATTCACTACGTTAGGCACACCTCCAGACTTCTCGGTGAAGACCGAAACAAAGAAGTCATTGAGCATCTCCGCCATTTCCAAGTTCCCTGTTACTGCTTCTCCCTCCTCGCTAAGCAGTGGGCCTACCCTGTCCTTGGTCTTCCTCTTGCTTTTAATGTATTTATAAAAGGTCTTCTTGTTTCCCTTTATGCCTGTAGCTAGTTTGATCTCATTTTGTGCCTTTGCCTTTCTAATCTTGCCCCTGCATTCCCGTGTTGCTTGCCTATATTCATCCTTTGTTAGTTGTCCTAGTTTCCATTTTTTATATGACTCCTTTTTTATTTTGAGATCGTGCAAGATCTCCTTGTTAAGCCAAGCTGGTCTTTTGCCATATTTTCTATCTTTCCTACACAGCGGAATTGTTTGCTTTTGGGCCCTTAACAACGTCCCTTTGAAATACTTCCAACTCTCCTCAGTTGTTTTTCCCTTCAGTCTTGCTTCCCATGGGACCTTACCTACAAGTTCTCTGAGCTTATCAAAATCTGCCTTCCTGAAATCCATAACCTCAATTGTGGTGGTCTCCCTTCTACCTTTCCTTAAGATCATGAACTCTATTATTTCGTGGTCACTGTCCCCTATACTGTCTTCCACTTTCAAGTTCTCAACTAGTTCCTCCCTATTTGTTAAAACCAAATCCAGAACAGCTTCTCCTCTGGTAGCTTTTTCAACCTTCTGAAACAGAAAGTTGTCTCCAATGCAGTCCAGAAACTTATTGGATAGCCTGTGCCCCGCTGTGTTAGTTTCCCAACATATGTCCGGATAGTTGAAGTCCCCCGTCACCACCAAATCTTGGGCTTTGGATAGTTTTGTCAATTGTTTAAAAAAGGCCTCATCCACCTGGCTAGGTGGCCTGTAGTAGATCCTCTCTTTTTCTTCTTTAATAGTTCCCATTACCACTGAGTCTGAGTATCTCAATGTTTAATGGATTTACGCGGCCAACACCCCAAGAAAAAGGGAAACACTCTACTTCCCATTTCTTAGATGTGAAACTAAGACAAAGATATAAAATAAAATAAAAGGAGATATACCTATCTCCTAGAACTGGAAGGGACCTTGAAAGGTCATTGAGTCCAGTCCCCTGCCTTCATGGCAGGACCAAGTACCATCCCCTCTAGATTTGCCCTAGATCCCTAAATGTCCCCCCAAAGGATTGAACTCACAATCCTGGGTTTAGCAGGCCAATGGTCAAACCTCTGAGCTATCCCTCCCCCCCACTCAAGCTATTAAGTGATTTGCCCAAGGTCATGAAGGATGCCTGTAGCAAAGCTGGGACTCCCATATTCTAGGACTAGCACTCCAACCATGGGACCATCCTTAATGTTAATAACAAACAGCCTTTCTCTAAAGAAATCCTGTTTAAATACCAATTTGTTTTAGCTGAACTAAAAATTGAGCAGGATTAGCAGTAGATCTAACAGTCTTACTTCATATCAACTTTTATATTTAAGGTAAAACAATGCACAGATAATAAGGTAGTCCAATATATTTGTAGGCAACATGTCTCAAACATTAGCTCAACTAAGTGCTTTGAATCTTAAGAGTCTATTTTAGGGAGGGATTGTTTGCCAGAATACACAGCTCATCCCAGACTCATGTTCTCCACCAGACAGAATGAACTGCGAAGTGACATCTCTTCAGAAGGGCACTTTCTAGGGGGAAGGTAAGGGAGGGACTTTTAGAACTTCAATTCCTACGTCTCTAATTTAAATAGAATGAAACAGCAGCCAAATACCTGTGGTGCCTCAAGTATTATTGATGAATGAATATCATTTATTGGTTCTGGAGATTCAGAGCTGTCTTTAATGGTACTGGGATCCACAATGCAAAAGTTCTCCTCCTCTTTATTTTCTCCCTATAAAAGGCAGTTGAACACACATCCGCATTAAAACACTGTCAAGAAAGCCGCAAAGTCCCAAATTCTTGAAATAAATAAAAATGTGGGATGTGGGGGAAAGGGAGGAAATGACTATGGAGAAGGAGAGAATGGACAAGGGAGGTGGTGAGAATAGAATTTGTTTTTATTACAAATTAAAAAGGACCAAACAAATGGGTTTACATAAAAATAAAATAAAAAGAGACAAAGGGGAAAGAAGCGACATAAGGATATAGGCAAGCCTGTACAATTTTGTTTTAAGGAAAGAATCTAAAAACCTTGTTACATTCCCCTTTCAGTACTTTTCTGTTTAGGCTGTAAGCACTTCATGGTCTTGTGTCCTATTATATGGTGCTACACAAACAAACTTAACTAATGAACAATAAAGCGGCTGTCTGGTCCCAAATCCAGAAAGCATCCCTATTCAGGTCAGTGCTTATGTTTTTAAACTTCAAGCCCTTCCCTGACTCCTATTGATGTGACTGAGTTAAGCATTTGCTTTGGTGATGTCCTGAGTAGGGATGGACTTAAACAATTTGCTTTGTTGACTTGGGAGCTATATACACACACATTGCATCTGTAGGTCAGGTGTCACTGTTGTGACAACACAGAATCAACTAACAATCAGTCCTTACCATCAAAGGCTTGCAGATGCCAAGACGAATAGTACCTGGGGGCACAGATTTCAACACTTCTACCGCCTCTGCTAGAGTGGCATTGTCCAAATACTTCTCATTTACAAAAACCAGGCGATCGCCTGGTAACAGTTCACCCCCACGTTCAGCTACTCCACCTGCAACCAGGGAGCTGATCACAATGGCTGTTCTTGTTGGATCTAGGGGATCCTGAAAAAAGCAGCCCAACAAATGTGTTATGTTATTTATTTGGAATGTCTGATCTTATGTTGAGGGCTAGCCCATAAGTTACAAAAACACACAACAAAAGGTCATTCCATGAATAAAACCACCTAAGAGCCTAAAAGAAAGTAAAACATAGGCACTCTGGCATGCCCAGAAGTTTAACAAATTCAAGCTCTAGAACAGGCTGATTTATGCCTTCCTAAGGCAGCTCTCTCAAGTGGAGGCCAAACTGCAGATGGAAAAGCAGTGCTGGCTCCTTCAAGGTCTCTCCAATCCATCCTGTTATGACCAAAAGCCAGGCCATCTCCATGCATGTGATTTTTTTCCAAGGCTTCATGTCAACAAAAGTTCCATTAAAAATCCTTATAATTTACAGAAGTATTCAGGACTCGGTACTTTCATTTGCTCAGATCATTGTAATATAGGGCATCATAATTTACATGGTGCTTTCTATACCCAGAAAGACACTTACCATGCTAAAAAACAGGACATAGGACTGTTTCAGGAGAGGATTACTAATGAAGATAAATGACTGCTTGAAAAGATGGGTAAATTTGCAGTAGGAAAGATCAGGTGCTTGACAGATGGAGAGATTTTTGTGATAATTGATTCATAAACGGCTTTGAAAGATTCTCATTCCTTTTGGGAACGTTTTTTAATTGTTTTTCTTTTGATTTATGTCTAATGTACAACTTCCTTCAAATGTCTACCCATGTGAAAATCCATCCTCAGTCCGGAAGATAAAATTACCAAAGATTTTAATCATTGTATAGCAGTAGAAACTATACACTGCAATACCTTTCCTAATTACTAAACCATGCATCATTTATTTTAAGATTGTGGCACAAATTCACTCTCCTTCTAGTGGCTGTAACACCCTTATGGGTATGCTGTGTGTCTGTAATTACATGATCACCTACTGGATTTCCATAGGGTCCAGGTCATTCAGTGCACAGGATGAATGCAGAAGGGGGCAGAATTAAGACTGCACAGCCCACCATGAATTTGGGCTTCCTAACCTTTGACTATTTGATTCTGCAAGCTAAACACTGTTCCTTTATCTTTATTGGTGTATAATTACATATACAGAAAGCATCTCCAAATCAGCAATTACCTAGCTTTAAGAGTGGGACAATTTCATCAAAAGAATTAAAATGGAGGGGAGGAAACCAGTTCAGGAGTTAAAAAAAAAAAAAAAAAAGAAGCTAATTTCGGCCCATTCCAACACTGACACCATTTTAGACACTTCCCAAATACTAGACTCTCACTCCCTATACCAGTCCCTTCTGTGCACGAATGGGGTCTGGTAATCTGGTCTAGTAATCTCTCTTTTCCAGGCCCTGATGCACTGCTCACTTCATGGCTGCCAGCACGCTTCAGCTGCCCTATTTGTGTTCTGATCTGCACCAAGCCACCCTGGGCTAGAAAACATCCTATCGAGATTTGTATGTGCATGCACGTCTGCACATGCATACTTGTTTTAAATGCCACGCCTCTCATATTATGTACAGACTTAATTACATGCCCCTAAATTATCTCTGCCCTTAGAAAGGCGAGGAATTGGGGTACTCATCAGGCTTCCTAAAAAACAAAGGGGGAAAAATTAGAAGGAACTTCAGAACTGGGAGACTTGGAAAATTCTCAGTGGTTACTAGGGATGTCAAATATCAGTTAATTGAATAGTCAATTAACTTCATGAATTCTTATCGGTTACTCGACTATTCTATAGTCCCTGGGAAGCCCCTGTCTGGGGGGAGGAGTCTGAGCTCCCAGACCCGGCACAAGCCAGAACTGAGCCAGGTTGCCTTTGCCCGGCTGGCTCCTAATATACTTTAAAATGAAGAGCTGAAGCGAGGGTAGGTCCAGGATCCAGTGCAAGCTGGGACTGAGCTGGCTGCTGGCCAGCCTGCTAAAAAATGTACTGGCAAGGAGTGGAGGAAGGGAGGGAAATGCATGTAGTCTATAGCATTAACCTGTAAGCTTTTGCTTATTGGTTAATTGAATACACTATTACATCCCTAGCGGTTATTGCAGTGCCTGCCCTAATGAACAGAGATAGAAAGCTTTGCCCTCTCTGACTACAAAAGCCATGTTTAGACAGGGAAGACAGTTTGATTAGAGCTGACCAGAGAATGACAATTTTGTTTTGTGGAAACTTTTGAAGTTTCAATATTTGTTGCAGTTTATACTAGCAAAAAGTGTGCTTATACCAATATTGTTCATGCAGGCTCCCCAAACAGACTTAGATGATACCAGCATAAGCACAGTTCAGTTGGTGTTAACTGCTTTTACAGTGGCACTTTTGCTTGGCACCACTAAGTCAATAAATTCTGATAGCAAAAGTTTCTAGAGGATTATATAGAAAAAAAAAGAGCCTCGGGTAAGCCTGGCAGTTAGGGCCTGGTATGTGGGGGAAATAGATTCAAATCTTTTCTCTGCAGAGATTTTCATAACACTGATCAAAGCAGAGCAGGAACTTGAATCTCAAGTTTCCCATAGTCCAAGCAACCACCACTGATAAAGCCGATAGCCTGAGAGTTTCTCTCATTTTCATGAAATCTTCATGAAAACCAAAATATTTCAGCCTTGGCAAGAGAGGTTTCTTTGTGTTAAATTTCAATTTGTTGAAAATATACCAACTAGCTCTTGTTCTGTTGCTAACATGGAAAAGGACAGAATCCCTGAATAACAAGTTATATTGACTTTGTCAGGATAAGATTTCAAAAGGCAGGACTATTATAATGTTGCAATGGCTCACTTGCTCCCACTGCAAGCCAAATATATGTACATATCAAACATCAGTGAATGGAATAAAAAAGAATTGGTACAAAAATTACCAATCAGGCAAATACAAAGCAAGGGTCGCATTCTGCTCTAGGTTATAATTACGCTGATGTTTTCAAGCAGAGGGAGCTATTGTACAGGGAGAGAAGAGCAATGTAAACCACAGTGACAGTGGTGTATAAGTCAGAAAACTTAAGCAGTCCTACAGAGATGCTGAATAGGTTGTTCCCAACTGCCATGCATCACAGTGTGATGGCTGTAGTATGACTTGCCACAACAACTGCATTCTGAAGTCAGAAGCTATTAAAAATATGTAGATGGCAATAAATAAGCTGTATAATTTGGTATATAATTTGGGGGCCAGCTTTGGTCTCAAGTCTTTGGACTGAACAAAAGAAACTGTTTAACAGATACCCTTGCTTACTTATGACTAACTCAAAGTTAATGACAAAGACTATGAAAGAACAATACTTGTTAAATGTTGATAGCAAATAAGTTAATTCGTGTTTGTGTTTCATAAAACCATGAATTAAAAATTGACTACAGAAACCTAGTAGCAGGAGGACAGCACTGGCTGCCTGAGTCTTCTATGTAAGGAAAGGGTGGGCAATAATTTTTGATGGGCCGGGGGGAGGGGGGGGGAAAAGGAGGCGGCCTCCAAGATTTTGGAAAGTGGTCAAGTGGAGGAGATGCGGGGTCTAGGATGGAGGCTGGGTGCAGTAGGAAGCTTGGGGTAAGGGACTGGGGTGCAGGGGAGAGAATGGGGTCTGGGAGGGAGTTTGGGTCAATGAGGCAGTTGTGACCTAGGAAAAGGGACTGGAATATAGGGGTTTGGGATATGACCTAGGATAGGATCTGGGGCAGGAGATTGGGGTGCCAGATCTGGGAGGGGGTACAGATGCAAGAGGGGCAGATGATTTGGGTATGTTAAATGAGGGGAGGGGGAAGAGGATTGGGGAAGGGAGGGGTGCCAGAGAGAGGCTCTGACCAGGAGACTTACCAGCCAACAGCCAAACCAGCCTGCCTGCCTGCAGAGCTAAGGCTTGCAGAGCTTAAAACATTTCCCAGCCAGCCAGCCTGCCCTCCTGGCCATGTGCTTGTGTGAATAACGGAGCTGAAGAGAAGGGGCATGGTTCTTCTTGGCTGCCTGTTATTGAAACAGGCAGCTCCCACTGGCCAGTTTCTGGCCAGAAACCGGACAATGGAATTGTGCTGGGAGTGGGGGCAGTTCCTGAAGCTTTCCCCCCTCCCCTCTAGTTTTGAAACAGAAATGGGGCCCAGCAGCCACATTTCTGAGCGGTGAGCAGGGCAAACAGGAGAACCTTCCTGGGGCTCCCTGCTGCTTCTGTAGGCTGGATCTAGTGGCTTAGTGGGCTGGATCCAGCCCATGGGCTATATTTTGCCCAAGTTTGATGTAAGGCCTTGTCTAGACTTACGGGCACCAATAATCGATTTGAACTATGCAAATAGCATTGCTAAAAGTCAATATACTCACTGCAGCATCTTGCATTCCCTAGGGATCAAACAAGACAAAAAAGGGTGGGGCATATTTTACCATGTTTACAACTAAGACAAAAGGTGGTTCACCTTCAAATCCCCTTTTAGGAAACAGGCCTTAGTAGTTGGCTTTTTTGACCTTTACGTTAGGCCTGACCTAGTAAGTATGAACTTCATAAAATGGTCACAGTTTACTCAGATTTAACACAAATATTATATATATTTCTCCTAATCATATTTTTTTCCATTCAAAATCCACAAACTTTTTCTTGAACAAGCATGTTTGCTTTGCCATTCTCAGAGCTACATTTGTTCATTTTGCAAAGAGTATAAAAAAAAGCCACTTGGATTGCTCTCCCTGGGGATCCTGGTCCTGAACTGCAACAAATTTCTTGAAAACCTGAGCTTGCTAGAATGCTGTTATAAACCCCATGAGTATATGTCAGCATAGCTTCATGGGACTATACTGATGGAGCTCATGCTTTTAGTGCAGTTGAAGTGTGGGTTTCTTATTAGTTACACATGCCATAGTCACGGATCATTTTGAACTCATCAGCTACTAAGTTTCTTTATTGTACAAAAAATGCTGAAGTGTAAATGTCTACAATAACTGCCCAGCATATTCATGAAGAACCAAAATGATACTTGTTGACTGATGCCTTTATTATTTTCAAAGCCTATGAAATTTCTGTGTTACCCAATAG